CTTCTGATATTCACATTCAATCCACTGTCAGATACAGTCTTAATAGGTTAGTGTGCACATTTATCTGTTTTTGAGCAATGCATCTATATGCTAGTAGCCATACCCCTCAGTGTATCCAAGCATTTTCAGTGATCCCTTTGTGCCACTATTCCCACCAATGTCCTGTGATCTCCATCTTCTCTATCATTCACCCTCAGTGATTCCCTGTGGGTACAGGCCTGCAATCCAAATTCCAGCCCCTGTTTTATCTCTTGACCACTCCAGCATTCCTACACGTGACCTCCTTTTTTATCTTAGCCAGCATCCAGTCTTGTTATACCTCTGTTATGCCCTGTGTATTTCAGTCAGCTATCTGCATTCTAACACCTGTTTGATTTTATGTGACTTTCAGCCATCCACCACCTGTGCACTCAAATTCTGTAGCCTGCTTTAGTGTTTCCCTGTCCAGCCAGCTGTTTTCAGGCTTGTGTTCCCACTGATACAGAGAAGGAAGGTCCTTCTCTGTATCAATGTGAACACAAGCCTGCTTCCAGTGACCCCTTATGACCCTGTGCACACCTATTAGTTTCTAGTACCCATTCTTACCAAAATATGCTCCATACTGACCTTTGATACTAGTACCTCTGTGTTCAGGGGCAGACTGACCATTGGAGAACACGGGCACTGCCCGAGGGCCCTGGGTCAGTAGTAGCCCCATGAGATTTCCCTGGCACCTTTCATAGGCTTTTTTGGGTATGCTTTGAGTGTGGGCAAGGACACAGGGGCCCCATGATCCCCTATTGCCCAGGGGCCCCATGAGTTGTCAGTCCACCCCTGTCTGTGTTGCAAGAGGCTCATCATATGTACTTAATCCTATTCCTATTTAGGAATCCTATTCTAGTAAGTAACCTCACTAGACTCCACAAGGTATCATTTAGCATGATTGATGATGGAGCTACATCACTGGACAACATGAATGATATTGGGTTTTCACTTATATTTTTTTAATATTTTGTTAACAGTGTATCTGTTTATTTACACTGTAAATTGCTTTAACTGAATGAGTAATAAGGGGTACTATTTACTCCCTACTCATTTATGTGGGGGGACAGATATCTGCAATCCACCTCATTCTAAAGGGTGCTTCCAGATTCCTGAGCTAGGGATGAGAGGATGGGCCACATGCCTTCAACCCTGGGAAGGTGTTTTGCTATGAATTCTCCCCAGAAGGTACCATGTCTCCATGCTGATGTAGAAAGGGTATCATCCCTACATTCCTGAACTGGTGTCTGTGGGGATCTCTGGGGGATTTCAAAATCTGGAAGCTCCCATTAGAATAAGGGGACACATAGACACCCATCCTCTTACTAAATGAGTAGCGGTACTTAGTATCTCTTGTTATCTACTCATAGGGGGACCCATAGATATCCACAGCCCTACCAAAAGAGTAAAGGGTACTTAATACCTCTTGTTACTTGTAATGTATTACATACAGCAAATAAGCAAAATGATACCACTGGCAAGGTATTCTATAAAACACACGTCCCATTATGTAAATCCATAGTTTACGAAGTCACCCAGGTTTGTAGATCGTCACTGATCATGATGAGCCACACCCCAACAACCCATTGCCACAACATGATGACCTGAATCAATTATCCTCTGCCACAAGACTCATCATAAACAAAAACCTGTTCAGCTGCTGAATATCAACACACACACCAGTAATGCTGGAGGATGTAATCTGCCAGCCACTTTGTTTAAAAGCATAAGCAGGCAGGGGAAATAAAAATATAATTTGGCAGCAAATGCATTTTCTGTTTCTTTGTAAACATATACAGTTGAAAGAAAAAGTATGTGAACCCCTTGGGATTACGTGGAGTTTTGCATGAATTGGGCATAAAATGTGCTCTGAACGTCATCTAAGTCACAACAATAGAAGAACACAGTCTGCTGAACATAATACTACACAAACATTAGGTGTTGCCATGGTTTAATTGCACATAACATGTAAACATTCAAAGTGCAGGGAGGAAAAAGTATGTGAGGCCCTAGCTTAATGACTTCTCCCAGAGCTAATTGGAGCCAGGAGTGAGCCAACCTCGACTCCAATCAGTGTGATGATATTGGATGTGTTGCTGACAGCTGTCCTGCCCTTAAAAAACACACACCTGTTTTGGGTTTACTGGTTTCAAGAAGCACTGTCTGATGTGAACCATGCCTCACAGAAAAGAGCTCTCAGAAGACCTACGATCAAGAATTGTTGACTTGCATGCAGCTGGAAAGGGTTGCAAAAGTATCTCCAAAAGCCTTGATGTTCATGTGTCCACGGTAAGACAGACTGTCTACAAATGGAGAAAGTTTAGCACTGTTGCTACTCTCCCTAGGCGTGGTCGTCCTGTAAAAATGACTGCAAGAGCACAGCGCAGAATGCTGCATGAGGTAAAGAAGAATCCCAGACTGTCAGCTAAAGACCTACAGAAATCTCTGGCACATGCTAACATTTTTGTTGACACATCTACAATAAGGAAAACATTAAACAAGAATGGAGTACATGGGAGGACACCACGGAGGAAGCCATTGCTGTCCAAAAAGAATATTGCAGCACGTTTGCAGTTTGCAAAAGAGCACCTGGATGTTCCACAGCACTACTGGCAAAATATACTGTGGACAGATGAAACCAAGATTGAGTTGTTTGGGAAGAACACACAACACTATGCGTGGAGAAAAAAAGGCACAGCACACCAACATCAAAACCTCAGCCCCACTGTAAAACATGGCGGAGGGAGCATCTTGGTTTGGGGCTGCTTTGCTGCCTCAGGGCCTGGACGGATTGTTGTCATTGATGGGAAAATGAATTCCAGAGTTTATCAAGACATTTTGCAGGAAAACGTATGACCATCTGTCCGCCATCTGAAGCTCCGCAGAGGATGGGTGATGCAACAGGACAATGACCCAAAGCATACAAGTAATTCAACAAAACAATGGCTGCAACAGCACAGAATAAGCCTTCTGGAGTGCCTAGTCAGAGTCCTGACCTCAACCTGATTGAAATGCTGTGGCATGACCTTAAGAGAGCGATTCACACCAGACATCCCAAGAATATTGCTACACTGAAACAGTTTTGTGAAGAGGAGTGGTCCAAAATTACTCCAGATCGTTGTGCAGGTCTGATCTGCAACTACAGGAAATGTTTGGTTGAGGTTTTTGCTGCCAAAGGAGGGTCAACCAGTTATTAAGTCCAAAGGTTCACATACTTTTTCCTCCCTGCACTGTGAATGTTTAGATGTTATGTGCAATTAAACCATGGCAACATCTAATGTTTGTGTAGTATTATGTTCAGCAGACTGTGTTCTTCTATTGTTGTGACTTAGATGACGTTCAGAGCACATTTTATGCCCAATTCATGCAAAACTTCACATAATCCCAAGGGGTTCACATACTTTTTTTTGCAACTGTAGTTGCATAGGCTATAGTACATCCTACATGGGCATATTATTAAAATACCAGATCCTTACTGAATGGTAATTAAAAAGAATGCATTGGTACATATCTCCAATAATAGTGCCCATTAACCCATCTCCTTTTTTTTCAAACTAGAAAATTGGCCTTGAAAAGGGACATAAAGTATTACAAGAACTGGCTCTCATAGACTTTAATGGTATGACACTATGCTCGGGAGTTTGCAAATTTGACATTGGGTTTGCTGACCCTCCTACCAACTGAACCTGTGCAAGTTTGCACATTACTAATGGGGAAGGGTTAGAACATCTTTCACATCTAAATGTTACCTTTGCCCTTATTTGAAATTTCCATTCCATGCTTGGTGAGCACATTGCTAGGATAATGTGTTAAGAGGAAGTCCTTTAGGAAGCAGTTACACCTTGCACACTGCAAGCCTTCCCAACTCTAATTCTATCCAGGAGAAAATAGTAATGTAAACTGTAATGACCAGATGTGCAGTAAATATTCAATTTAACACACCTGGCATTGGAGCTTTACTTTTAATTTCCTTTTCTTCTCTCTACATTCTAAATTAGAAAGATACTGAAGGGTATCAGTTATAACAGTGTAGAATGTTATTGTGTTATTGTAATTATCAGTGGTTGGACATTTTAGAATTTCCAGCTTTATGGGATACTAATCAGAATTATCTTTGCACAAGGCAATGTTGTATTTTGTCCTTTAACTATAAACTGATCATCAAAAGATCACTAGTCAACAAGTGACAATGAAGAACTGCAGCTGCTATTTCCTGGGAAAAGAGCAGATAAAAGAGTTTATTACATTTTACATAATTTGCAAACAAATATTAAAAATGACAAACAGCATTATTTTCAATCTTTGCTTACTAGATTGTCATAAAGATTGTAGTTGTTTGCAGATGTGATTCAAACAATAGCCAAAATATAACAATTACCAACAAAGCTAGTTTGAAATTTGATTTGTATAATTAGGTGTTTACATACTGATAATGATAATAAAATAAATGTATGATGCATTAGTGTCCCTTCCCAACAACTGGTTGTTTTTGTAAAGAATGCTTCTTGTAGTAGATTTTAAAAGCACCAAATATCTTACTAAACTCAATAACTTGATGAACTAAAGGATGGATAGACATGCAAGTGCTATTCAACTGCCTTAAAGTGTATCTACAATAATAAATAAAAATCTAATATATTTCATCTTACTAATCCTTAGATGCTGTAGCTGCATTTGTTTACCTTTTTTCTAGGCTATGTACATGTTTTGCAAGTACTGGAAAAGTACTGGAAAATACCTGTTGAGCCTAACAGAAAGCCAAGTGACCTTGCAAATTCTTTTGTACCAAAAGAATGAGTATCACCATAACCAGGGGTGGACTGACAACTCATGGGGCCCCCGGGCAATAGGGGATCATGGGGCCCCTGTGTCCTTGCCCAAACTCAAAAAAGCCTATGAAAAAGGTACCAGGGGCATCTCATGGGGCCCCCATACTGACCCCGGGCCCTCAGGCAGTGCCTGAGTTTCTAAATGGTCAGTCTGCCCCTGACCATAACCTGAACATTATTGAATCCTCCAGGTGGCAGCGTGCATGTAGGACTTGGTCTGGGTCTAATCTATGCTGTGGTTGCTGAATTAACATGACCTATAGTGTGCCCCTACTACTGTTCATCTACACTGATCAGAAGGAGAAAAATACATAATTAGTTATGAGTGACAGTGCACCTTGAGACACATGGGGGTTTATTTACTAAAGCTGGAGAGTCCCAAAATGACACCTTCTGCATAGAAACCAATCAGCTTCTAACCTCAGCTTGTTCAATTCTTTGGCAATGAAACCTGGAAGCTGATTGGTTTCTATGCAGAAGTGAGTCTGATTTTGGACTGTCCAGCTTTAGTAAATAAACCCCATGCTGTCATTCACACCAACACAAGCTGTCTAGTCTATTGTCTCTTCCAGAATAGCATGTGGGTGGGTCTGGGTTCAGTTGTCTGTCTTCTGGTGTACAAGGAAACAATGCACAAGCCTGGAAGATGACAGATATTGTTATAGGAGATACCTGCTGGCAAGTGGGTTTTGTTCAAGACGCTGCCAGAACTTTCCTCAGTGGCTTGCTAGTGCTACAGCAATTACAAGTAACAGCAGCCTGATTCATGCCTGGCTAATGGCTGTAGGATGGGATAGACACAAAATACAGATACTCAAAATTAAGCTAAATGAAAATGAAAAGTGGGCAGTGGCTACAGTGCAGTGGTATGGCTTTCCCATAGGACCACCCATACATTGGGCTTCAACCTGGGGTGGAGCTGACAACCAGCACAAACGGACATACAGATGTGCTAGGGATCATAATTGGAATACATACTACGTGCACTTGGTCCCCTGTGGCATTCAGCAACAATTTTTATGTTCTGGAAATGCTTCTACTTTAACTGAAATTTTGAATTATGTTAAATCTGTAAATTCACAGAGAGATAGAGGTGTTTGTTTTCTAAAATCAGGGGAGTAAAGTGAAGTTACTGCTCCTCCTAGTGATAAAGTAAAGGTAGTGAGAACCTTGGGGAACGAAGTGTGTTACTGGCAGGATTACCAGATGAAAGTCAAGGTAAAAAAAAAAAAACTTGGAGCCACTACCAATAAGGACTGATAAGCTGCTATATATTACTTTTTTTGTTTGGATACATTTTAAGGCCGTTGAATAGTGCTTGCATATCTGATGTATGGATAAAGGTCTGGTTAGAATTTAAGGAGAACCCCAAAACATTTTTAATGTATGCTGTCCCTTTAAAAAAAAGAAAAAGTGAAGTTCCCCTTAAAATTTCAACCAGGCCCTTATCCCTAGTGACCAAAAAAGCCTTCCCCTTGTGAGGTACCTTTTCTTAATTTTGAGGGCCCTCTCAAAAGGGCCTCTTCCCTTTGTTTGTTTGTGAGGACATATAAAGGAAACTGGAACCCTCCTTCATAATAAGGGGGGATCCAGATATCTGCCCCCTTTAATGGGTATGAGTACAAGGGTATCTCTTTCTATTACCCCTTGCTTATTCCCAGAAAGATTTAAACATAAATAAACATCCACAAAGGTACCCTAGGCAGACTGATGTCTTAGGTACATAACAGTGGGACACTATTATTTAGTAAGGGAGATTGTGCTAGAATAGGCTCAGAGCCTACACAGACCAAGGAAAGGCAGTAATATAGCCAGGAGGCTTGACATTGCTTTGTGGATGTAACAAGCAAAATTAAACCCCTGCAAGGGTAAACCTTTAGATTTGGTGTTTCATTGATGAATACATCTAGAATGGAAGCACTAAAAGCTTTGCTAGATATATATATACATTCAGCAGCCACTTTATTAGGTATACCTGTTCAATTGCTTGGTAACACAAATTGCTAATCAGTCAATCACATGGCAGCAACTCAATGCATTTAGGCATCTAGATGTGGTGAAGACGACTTACTAAAGTTCAAACCCAAGCATCAGAATGGGGAACAAAAGGGGATTTAAGTGACTTTGAATGTGTGGCATGGTTGTTCGTCTGGCTGGTCTGAGTATTTCAAAAACTGTTGATCTACTGGGATTTTTATGCACAACCATCTGTAGGTCTTACAGAGAATGTTGAAAAATAAAAAATATCCAATGAGCTGCTGTTGTGTGGACGAAAATGCCTTGCTGATGTATATATATTAAAGCTTTTAAAATATTTTACTACATTTTAAATTAATTTCATACTGAAACACATTACATTATGACTAGAGTTTGTTTTCAAACTTTCACTAAGAAGCGTCCGCTTTAAATAATTGAAGAGCAATGTAACCAGACTTTGCTTTTTCTTTCACATTTTGTAAAGCATTTTTGGAACTAGATGCATACTTTGAAGTATTGCAAACTGTTATTTTATATGAAAATATGTCTGCCAAAAACATAGTTTTAATACATAAATATTTTATATGATTTATGCATCCTCAGATACTTGTTTTGCTTAGCAACTTGTCATTGCCATCTTGATTACCCACCAAAAAGTACTAATGTTTTTTTAATTGCCTCATTGTGGTAGAAAAACACTGCTGATGTGTGTATTATATTCCTACTATGTTTCATTAATGTAATAGTCAAAGCACAGAACTGACAATGGTATTACATTGTATGTAAAATAAGAATGGCATAACTTTGTTAGTGCTACAACATCTAATAAAATATAAAAGCAGCATGAATGAGCTTCCTTTTTAAACAAATGATCAGCCCTTATGTGAAATAAAACTATTGAAACTATTAAAAAGACCTTTTGCAATCAAACACAGAACTAACTTGTTGGGATATAAACAAAATAAAAGTAGACTAGAAGATAATATATATTATTTATGTAAAAAATGTCAGCACATTAAAGCACTGGCTATGATTTTAACCTTATGGGTATTTTTATTGTCTGAGTAAATAACGGAAATACATTTTGTCTACAGCCAGAGTTCAATTTAAATTCTGCCCGGTTCAAAGATGCCATAGCTGATAATTGGAAAAATATATATTGTTCTGATGCAAAAGTAAATACACTTGCAATAATTGAATTGGATTTCATTCCAACCTCATGGCATAAGGTTTCAGCAAAATGGACAAAACTGTGAAATGGTTATACTTTTTTTGGAGGTATTGGTAAGAATCAGTTCATTTTACAGTATTACACCTTCACTGCCCAAGTCTTAATTGAGCCAATCCATCAATGTCATTTACTATTGTGCAATTCAACTGAAGCTAAAGTAGTTAGAATTGAACAGAAGAAAGTCGTTGAATTTAATTAACGCTGCAATAGCAACATTCATTGGCGTTAATCTTGATTTCTATACAGTATATATCAGTGTTAGCTAAACATTCCCCCTTTCTGCTTTCTTTTTTTTCTAAATTTTACTATCATACTAGCATAGAGATCAATGAAAATGAGAAATGGGAAAACGGAGAAATTGCCAAAAATAAGTAGAAACCACCTAATTCTTGCCATGATCAATATAACATACAAAAAACAATTGGCCAAAGGGTGTGGCCGGCAGCCAGGAAGGTGGTTTCAGTTTGATTCAGCTCCTAGGGAATCCCACAGACCCAGGCTGAATTTTACAACATAGGGCAGCATACCCAACTACAGTGTGGAGGGACAGAATAAAAAAAAAAAAGGAAAGTGAAGGTTGTTCAAGGATAGCCCATCAGTATTAAAATTACACTGAGCCCATAAAAACATGTATATTTTATTACAAAAAGTCATATAAATCATAAATCCCAAATTATATCACTACCTATATATTTTTTAGGTATAGAAGTAGCAAAACGGCTACTTCAAGGAATCAAGGAAGAGATCCAAAAATGTAAACTTAAAATAGTTGATTTAGAAGACAGGTCACAAAGAACAACATTAAACTCAGAGGAATTGCAGAAACCGTACCTCCGGGTGACCTGACACATTATGGGCAACAATGATAACAATAGACTGTGTTGCACTGCTGCCTTACAGTATATACAATAAACTCGTAACTATACTCTTGTGTCTTATATGTGATCCTGATGGATATACAACAAATTAAAACAAAATCGATGCATTTGCTAAGTTCACTTTTTTTTTTTTTAAATCCAGCTCCCCTATGCACCAATATACCATTAATGTACCTCAGTTGCCAAAAAATACAAGCTTTCATTAATGTCGAGAACAAGGCCTTACCTTTGCTCTTGGTAAATTAATTAGAAAGCTTTTCCATGTCCTGACATGTACATTTAGTGAGGAGGAGCCAGTAAGACCAGGAAGCAATTTACCAGCTGATCTCATTAGCACACACATGAAGCACTGACCTCATTAACACCGTCCTGCCCGGCCTATAGCAGATTGATGGCCGAGCAGGACACTTGCCATTGTGACTGGGCGTCATATGATGTCCAGTCAAAATGATCTGTCACCGGCTGTGAAATCAATGGGCAGCCCTATGTGTGCAACTGGAAAAATGAACCAAAAAATTTGTGCTCCCACTACTCTAGGTGTGAATTGGGCCTGAACATGATATTTGGTTGGTTTACACAAGAACTCCAATGTGTTTCCCAATGCATGGCAATCTACACAGAAAATGCCTGCTTTGCCATGCGTTTCACAAGCAAGCTGCAAATGTGCATCATGTTTGTGTTGTCACTACATGTTAAAGGCACCCCAAGTGCATCAAACATACCAAAAACTGAGAATAAGCAGCTCTCTTCACTCCCAAAAAAGTTCTGGAACTTCTCTGGGGCAATTGTTGTGTAGGGTAACAAGTTCAAGTGAATTGGCTGCTCTATGCGTGACGAGTGAAAATGCTCCAAAACACCCAAAACAAACAAATGCAGGAATGTGAGTTTTCGCTACATGGAGAAGTGAAAGAAGCCTTACAACTGAGTGTCTCTGTCCACTCCCTCCTACTGTATGTACTTGTATAAAGATGGCCATACACTTTGCAATCTGATTGTACAATTTCCATACAATTGCCTTTAGATTTACCAGAACTATGGAATAGGACGACACACCTGAACAATCTATTCAATTTGTATCAAATCAGATAGGCCCTTGTACTACATAGCTGATGGGAGATCTAAAGCAGTTTGTAAAATTGGATTGTATA